GACCGCAGCCGCGTCGAAGTCGTCGAAGTCGTCGTCCGGACGGCGGGTGTTGCCAGGCGGCCTTCTGGGGCTTTTATCCTGATTGAACAGGTCACCTCAGGGTCAGCAGCTCGCGGCGGCTTCTGCAGGCCGGGCCCAGCCTGGCAACAAGGCTTGGCTGCGTTTCTATAGTCATGCTCGCGACCGAACGGCCGGCAATGCCGCTGCAAATTGCACGAATCCTATGAATGAGTGCCAGAGTCTCCTTCTGTCAGCTGCGCGCGACGCCTCGGCGGCGTGTCGTCTTGGGTCGTGCGCGTCGGGCGCGCACGTCGGGCGTACCCTGCTCGGCCGGGCTGCGGGGTCGGAGCGGCGGACAACCCCCCCCCCCCTCCCCCCTGCTCATCACACGGTCGGTAGCGTCTGATTGTCTTGGCCGAATGCAGCATACGTAAACACGCCGTCCGTGGGGGGGGGGGGGGGGGGAAGGGGCTCAAGTCAGCAGCCGTCTCAGCGCTGGGTGCCGGCCGATGAACTACACTGCTTTGAAATGACGTCATGAGACGCGATAGTGAACGAAGGGACACCTGCTTGCCTTGCATGGCATGATGCTTTGCAGGGATAGATGGTTGCTTCAGTTGCGGGGTCGTTTGTTCGCGATCTGCGACCGCCTTTGTTTTTGTTTCTCCGAGCGGGCCGACGAACAAGACTGCTCTGAAATGACGTCATAAGACGCCGTGGCGAACGAAGGGACATCTGCTTGCCTTGCATGGCGTGATGCTTTGCAGGGACAGATGGTTGCTCCAGCTGCGGGGTTGTTTGCTTGCGACTCACGGCCGCCTCTGTTCTGGTTTCCCCCACAACAGTGAGCGTGTGAGACGACACAAGTGGCCGCCTTTGTTGCAGGCGTCGTCAAAAGCTTAAGTGAAGCTACAAAAGCCTGAGTGAGGTAACAATGGCTGCCACTGTTTGTACTCCCTGTGCAAATGCCGCTGGAAAACGGCGCGGCACGAAGTCTTGTCCTTCGCCCAAGCGCTGTCGCTTCAGGTGCCTGTCGTGCACATGCCGTATTATCTTTTTGCCCCGATGTTTTTTAGATGATCGAGGTTTACTCCGGCTGGATGGCTGGATGATGACGTTGACGGCGTAGATGACGATGGCGACGTAGCGCCTGGCCTGGGTCATATCCGCGCCCGTCTGTCTGGCTCCCAGCGCGGCGGTCGGAGGCGCTATTTTCCGTGGCTCTCGCCCCCGTTCCGGCCGCCGGGAGGCGCAGGAAGTTGGCTGTTAGCTAGCCTCCCCTCGGGCCATCATTTAGTAAACAGCGCCCGTTAATATGGCTGGTTATCCCCGGCTGGTCGGGGCCGCCGCCGGGATGAAGCCATCGCCGTTGCCGATGCGGTCATAAACTCTTGTTCCCGTTGTGTGCATCGAGCGGGCCCCGCGGCGGGCCGAGGTGTCGGAGGTGCGGCGGCGGGGCCGCCTCCTCCGGCGGTAAACGACGCCGAAGAGGGCCCACAGCGTGCTGAGAGCGGCTGGAGTACTCTTAAGTAGTCAGCGGCCCGTGGGGGGTGCTCAGAGTTTGCCGGCAGATGTGGTTATAATTAAACGGCAGCCCGGAGTGTTAAGCCTTGGGAATGCCGCCCTGAGGTGCCCTGAGGTCTGGCGTAGTTGGCAAGGCGCGGACGACGAGCCGGCCGCGGCCGCGGCAGGCAGGCCAGCAGCAGGCCGCGGCCTGCTGCTGGCTTCCCAGCTGCTGCTGGCTGCTGGCTCGTGGCTTCCCAGCAGGCCGCGGTCCCAGGACCATCACGTTCGTTCTGGGATCATGAATTAGTCTTGGAATCCCACTGGAACCCCAGAAACGCTGTCGTGATGTCGGGACCATTATCAGAACATCTGTCGGCCTGCGGCCGGTGCATCTGGGACAGGCGTCCGTACGCGTTGATCCCATTTCCGCGGAGGACCGGCGCCCCCGCAGGTGACTCATCATCAGCAGAAGCGCCAGTGCGAGGGGACTGGCGCACGTCCTGCACGTGTGAGGGCTTGCGTGCAGGGCCGAACAGCTGATTCACGGGCCGCCTGGGCGCTCGCCTTATACGGCCATGGAGCGCCGCCTGCGTTTTTGTTCGTAGCCGGCTGGCCACGGCGCTGCGCCGCCCATCGCCGCTCGTCGCCACTGTCCCCCGGCGCGGGGGAGGGGCGGGTGGGCCTGGCCGGCGCTCGGCGGCCGGTGGGAGCGAAGCGCAGGCCGGTAATGGGCGCCGCTGCCGGACGCGACGCGTGCGTGCATCCTCTGTCTGGCAGCCTCCGACGCCGGCTGACCCGCGGCTGCCTTTCACTTTCACCCCGCCCGCGCCGCCCGACCCACATCGGGGTCAGCGACCCGACCTTCGGCCGGCCGTCTGCGGCCGCCCCTCATGGCACTCCGCGGCGGGTCACGTGACGGGCCGCGGGGCCGCGGGGGGGAGGGGGTGCGGGGCGCCGCTTGGTGCACGGGTGGCGTCCGCCGCCGGCGGCAGGGAGGGGGAGGGGTGTCACGATTGTCGTGCCCGTCACGCGTCCGGCGCCGGCCCCGTTCATTGATGCATGCACCGGCGGTGGGCGGCCGCCTCCCCCGCCGCCGCGCCCGGACGAGGGTGGCCGCTGAACGGCATGCAAATCGCTCTGCGGCACGACAGCGGAGGGGCAGTTTTTAGGAGCGCCCCGGCCCGGCCGGCGGCGGCCTCGAAAATGTAGGCCGCGGTCCGTGTGCGTGCGCTGATGGCGCCCCCGTTGGCGGATGTTGCGTCCCAAACCGGTAATAACGGCTGCATGACCGTGAGCATTGCCATTAGTATACTGATGAGCCGCTAACCGCGTTGAAGCGGTTTGCAAGTGCATTATTTTCAGCGTGCCTCATGTCGGACGGCATCCGTTTGGCGCGGCGGCAATGTCACCGAATCGGTGCGACCGTTCTCGCAAGCGCTCGTCACCGGGTCAGTTGTTCCGGTCATTTCCGGCCGTGGTCGGACGCCGCCGGAGCGCCGTGACCGCACCTCACCAGCTCAGCCGGCAGGGTTCGGTACTGCGACCGAGCTGTGCTCGCCATCCTCAGGCTTAAGCAAGCTGTGACGGCCTGGCCACATGCTGGCTGGCCGCGCTGATGCCGTCTTATCTGAGATGCGCACGCGGCATCCGCCCTGTTGCGATGCTATGACGCAACGCAACGACCCAGGACTCCTCAAAGCAAGCGACCATTTTTGCCTCGTTGCGTCACGATCTGGCGCAACGGAGACCCAGAACCGCGCGCGGTCGCCGGACCTTTTCGGGAACAATCAGGAGAACAGCGAGGGCCTGACAAACATCACGGCTCCATAACTGGCGCGGCAGCGCGCCGCTGCGTTATCACCGGTCTTGTAGTGAGTGGCGTTCGGCAGGCGGGCGCCCGCCGACCTCGCCGGCGTGCGTCCTGTCCGCGCCGGAACCCAGCCCACACGCCGTCCGAACACACAGCCCAGGTCGGTCCAGATGCTAACGATCTTACCTGTTTGGCGTGACAAACGGCTCTGACTGGCGATTGGCGATCTGTCTGGCGTGTCTGTCTCGTCAGGGTCGGGCGTCCCGTCCGGTGTCGTCCTCGTCTTCTCGTCATCGCGTCTCGTCGGTCCTCCTCCGTGTCACAGCTTCTCGCCGGCTCTCCGCAGGGGCCGCCTCCGCCCTCCGGCTCCCGCCCTCTCTCCACTCTCCCCTCGTCAGCCACGCGCGCCCACTCGGCCCCCAACACGTATGCGTAGGCATGAGGCCCTGCGGGACCGTTACGTGGTGGAATGCGACCGCCCGAGTCCCGTCCGCCGCCTCTTCGACCCCCATTGTGCCAGCCGCGATCGGCGGTGCCGGCGACAACAGAGACTCCGTGTTCGTGCTAAAACCGAGGCGGCCTTTACCCGTGTCGCGTCCGCCGCAGCGGTCTCTTGCAACACCGGGTCGCAGGCGGATGGACTCCCGATAGCGGCCCGGCGCAGGTCCTTGCTCTTGGGTCGAACAGGGGCCTTGCGTTTCGGGCGGCGCGGGCGCACAAAAAGCTCGAGAGAGATCCGCTACTTTCTCTCCCCTTGCTTCATTGTTATGCGCCGAACACATCTCATAAAAGGCCCATACAAGGGCATTTCCCGGTGCCGCGCGGGAGGGGCGTTATTTTGCCTCGGCGTCCGTCTGCTGGGAGCGGCGACGGCGCTCACTGCCTCTCATCTGCATGAAATGCCTTGCTCGACGACGACGTGCCGGCTCCGCCTCCGCTAATTAAAACGGCACTCCCGCCGATAGATAATGGTGCAGTTGTTTGTGTTCGCGCCGCCAGCTCCGGGGAGGCGTTTCGGGTGTTGGCGCCCGGTGCGCCGCCGCCTGGCCCCCGGCGCCGGCGCGCGGCGTCAGTGTGATTGTTACGAGCGGCTGTGATTGGCGGCGGCGGCCGCCGCTCGCGGGCGGCGCCTCGGAGCTGCCGCCGCCGGACCCCGGCTCCCGCGACCCGGCCGAGCTCGGGCCGCGTCGCCGGGTCACGCTCTGGGGTTGTCCGTGACGCCCAGGCCGGCCCGACAATGGGTCCCACGTCATGTTGTCTTGGCCTCGACCGCGCAGCCCGCGGGCGTCGTGCCTTGGAGAGCTTTTGTGTGACAGCATCGTGCCGCGGCAGACAGCGTGGCGCACGTTACGACGTGGACCAGTCCAAATCCACTCAGAAGCGTCGTCGCTTCTGCTGACGTTTGCCCATGATGTGCCGCCTCCTTGCATAGCATCCGACCGCTGTACTTTCATCGCGGACCTGGAGGCGGCTTCAACCCCGCGGGTTTCTTGTTGAGCGCTGCTGGACTTAATTCTGGCGCTTTTTGAGATCAGGTGGGGACTCGTGTTGTCTGCTGCTGGTGATGTCTGTTGGTCGTTGGTCTAATGTGCGTCCCGCGCCGCCCACCATGTGCGGCGTCCCGTGACCTGACTTGGCCTGACCTGACCTGACCTGACTGGACACCGTGTCTGCGCTGTTGCAGGTGAGAAGCCGTACCGGTGCTCCTGGGAGGGCTGCGAGTGGAGGTTCGCCCGCTCCGACGAGCTGACCCGGCACTACCGCAAGCACACGGGCGCCAAGCCGTTCAAGTGTCACAGCTGCGACCGGTGCTTCTCGCGGTCGGACCACCTGGCGCTGCACATGAAGCGCCACCAGGCCGAGCTATGATCGCCGGCGCCGGCGCCGTCTGGCCGGTCGGCCGCCGTCAGGGACTACACTGCCACTGTCATTCCACCGCCGGCTGGCGGGCCCGGCCCGGGCCACACCCCGACCCGCCGCCGGCTTTTGTACGGGCCGCCAGCGAGGCACGGCGCCGGTGTGAGCTACAGCTAGTCCGCCGCGGATGTCCGCGGACCGCCAGCACCCGTTTGTGTGTCTGTCTGCGTGTGTGCGTGTGCGTACGCGCTCGCCGGCTCGTGAAAGTTTCGTTCGGGAAGTTGCGAAGTTTAAAGAGGACTTCTGTCATTCAAGTTGCGCATCCACATTCATCAAGTCGTGTCGTGGCTGGTAATTACTCATTTGCTCCACTGGTACCTAAATTCCCAATGTTCCACGAACGTTTACCGATTTACCATGACCCCATCCATCGACGAACCATATGGCCGCCGACCAGTCATTATTTCTGCCAGCTCCACTAAATTTTTAAAAAAGTTGTAATAGACCAAAGCAGACGGATGTTCGTAGAAGGCCTTCCTGTCCTCTTGTCACCGAATGAGTCGCTGGCGGTTGCGGTGCAGACGGCGGCTGGTGGTGCGGTCTCAGGAGATCCGAACGAACGGCAGCACGTGCGTAGGTCACCGCGATGCGCCTGCCGCCGCGTGCTGTTCATGGTTCAAAGCCAGCGAAGCTTTAAAAGTCGGCGGTGGTGGGGGAAGAACATGAAGTGCAAACCTGCCTGTTAGCCGACTGTGTCGGATGCGGCGGGGTGAAACTGTGATGGGATGCGTCCCTCTGGGGCGTCAGTGACTGGCGAGGGCGCGTGCGTGTGTGCGTGCGTGCGTGCGTCCGACGCTGGTCGTGCGCTAGTAGTGTCACGCTTCTGCGTCCCATTTATATCAATTGTTTTTGTTGATGTTTGATCTTGAAACGAAGCTGGTGTGCTTATTTTGATCGCTGTTTTCCATTTGCGTTCTTTACGCTGTCAATTGCTGCTGTGACTGAATCAAAATGTTGTCTTACCAGGCACGAAACGCTTCCATTGGAATGCGATGTCTCACTTCTGGCAATCGGTGGCTTGCGACCAGGTTTTTGGAGGTTTTTGGTGATGTCGGTGCTCCTGATTTATGTGGCACCTTGCTGAGCAACGTGGAAATCGCCTATGTGTGTACCATACCGGATTACGGATTCGTATATGGAGGTAGCTGAGCTAGGTGTTTTTTTCCGGCTCGGGTGTTTGTGAAATTTGTACACTTGCTTAACGTGATGTTGTCAGCCCTCGAGGGTTGAAACCTTTGCGTTTGTAGAAAATTAAGATGCGACTAACGTGTCATCACCATCACTGAACATTCAGCATGCATTTCGAGTCGTTTGTCTAGACATCAACCATTGTTCATCCATTGACGCATTGTCACGTCTCGCCGAATCCAAGGGACGCGTGTATTATGTGCTTGTGAGTGTGTGTGTGCCGCTGCTGCTCGTGCCGCGTCACGTGACGGGGCGCCGCGCCGGCCGTGTTTTGGGGAGGGCGGCGCGGACCCCAGCCGCGTACGGCGAGCCCGAGCTCGGCCGAACCTCCTACCGCTGGTCCCATCCTCCGCTCGGCTGATCTCAAACTGCAGAGCGGGTCTGTCTCTCCGCTCTCCTTCACACCTGAGCCCCCGCCGCCCTCCCCCCCTCCCCCGCCTTCCGCTGAGTCTTCTTGCCATGTACACGTGAGCCCCCCCCCCCCCCTGGTGTTCTAACGCTTGCTGCCCCTTAGCTCTCTCTCTCCATGTCACATGTGATTCCGCCCCTCTCTCTACATCTACCCCCTCTCCACCCACCCGCCCACCCAGCCGTCCCCCCCCCCCCCGTTCATTGCCGAGCTTTACCCGCTTGTCAGTCTATCTGGGTCTACTTCGGACATGCCTTCTGTGCCGATCTTCAAAGCCATAAATCCGAAAGTGATGCCGATGCGTTTTATCTGCGATTTGAGGACAGAGGAGGCGGGACTGGCGACAGCTGTAATGACGTCACTGCTCACTATCGTTCAAAAGTCCAAACTAGCAGCGGACTGGCACAGTAAGTGACGCATCTCAGATACGTGAATAAATGTCATCCACGCAGAAGTGACATTGCTAGAGTATTTGTCCTGCGGTGGCTCTGTTCAACCCGACACCCATCAGGCCGAGCCATCCGCCTTTAGCATCGTCTCCGGGGTACACCGAGGGCTCGAGCTATCGTATGACGGGGACGAGGCGCTCTCTAGCGAAGGAGACGAGACACTCTCAAGCGAAGGTGACGTCACGCTCTAGCGAAGGAGACGAGACGCTATCAAGCGAAGGAGACGAAACGCTCTCAAGCGAAGGTGATGTCACGCTCTCCAGCGAAGGATACGGGACGCTTTCCAGGGAAGGAGACGGGACGCTCTCCAGTGAGGGAGACGAGGCGAGACACAGCGACTCCGGTTCGGCCAGTGTACCATCGTCAGCTGGCGCGACTCTGAAGGGCGCCGCTGATGCGGGGCGGCCGCAGCCCTAGCTTCCGAACAACCACGGGGGTGGGGGAGGGGTGACATCGGCGCACAGTCCGCACAAGACCGCTCGCGGAGGCCGGCTCGGTGCTGCCTGGGGACCGCGGCGTCGCCGCCGTGGGACGCGCTGTCAGCCGACTTCGCTTCCCCAACCGCAACTTGCATGTGCCGAGCATGATCAGGATCTTGGTGCCGAGCATGAACCCAACGCACGATACGCGCCGTAAAACAATCGAAGTAGTCTCACACGAGGCACGCCGCGCCGTGCTTCTTCTTTAGTTTCCGGCCCCCCGGATCGGTGCGTGAGTCATGCACAAGTGTGCAGCCTCACACAGATATCGGCTGGAGCTATCGCGTTCTGGCGACCGCGGTATCTTGAAGCGGTTCTCGCGAACTCCGGGGCTTGGAGACACGGTGCTAGAGGACAGATACCGCTCGATACAGAGAAAATCAAACAAACAATAGGGCATCAGATAAGATACCACGAGGATTGCGTGGTACCTTGCGCTTCAAGGATGGCTGAGTTTAACAAGCCGTTCGTGACAGGAAGGTTAGAAAAACCGGTTACCACTACAAATAAGCCGCTGTTTTTTTTTTGGATCAGGACTGAAAAGGAGGAATGTTTCACAGGTCTCTTTTTAAATGGATTTTTCTAACATAACTGCTCTTATTTGGTTCCTCCTGAAACGAGCAAAAAGGCTGGATCTGAATCTTAGTTTTTTTAGCCCTAGTCAGCTCCGAACAGCTGAAGTATTTTTGCTGTAATAAACACCCTCGACATGAACGACACCACACCTCAAATGTGACTTCACTCAGATTTTGTTCGCATACAATTTTATATGGCAAAGAACAGGGGCTTAATCTGCAAAAGGGCATTAGGGTTTGGATCCCCACGGCCTCCAGTAGTGGTCATGCCCATCACCAACCGGTTGCCAGTTTACAGACGCCTAAACTTACGTCAAGTTTTAATCCATTCCATCTGACCAGTTAACCACAAGGCAATGCTGGCTCCCACTCAAAGCCGCCGGGCCATTCAGCTAGTCTGTCGAAGTTTGCACGCTTTCTTGTGGTGTACATTAGTGCGTCTCGTTGCCATGGCAACGACCATGGAACTATGCACCGTGTCAATTGCCATGACCGGGCGCAGTTTTCAGCATGCGTTCCCTTAGGCCTGATACTAAAATGTTTATTGTTTTTCGCTAACTCGCTCCAAGAGTGAGCCTCCGAGACACCCTAAGATTATTAAAAATCAAGCAAGCTGGAGCCGCGGGGAAAATTCCATAACATAGCTCTCGTGAAGCATTATCGGCTAGGTGCATCTTAAAAGCGGTGAATGCAACCTTTGACATGTCAAATAAGCCTACAAGTAAAATTAGAACCTCGTAGCTACTCCCTATCATGTCAAAAATTTAGTACGCTGTGATCATAAAGGAAGGGTTTGGAATACCTCTTGAAAAAGCTCGCTCAACTGCGGTGTGGGGATAATGCAGTATTCGTTAGTCTAGCTATAACAAGAACTAAACAAGCCACGCCACTAGGTAAGTGGTGTTAGCATGGCTTTCCAAAGCTTTCAAATATACGCTAGGCTATACATCGCTAGGGTTTGAATCGCATCACCTCCAAAAGGCTAAATCTGGTCAAAAAAGTAAATGTTTTACCTAGCTTGACCCTGGATGACAGGACATTGCCAAATCAGTCTGAGCGACAGTAATGCACGTCAGAGTGATAGGGTCACGAGGAACAGCCTGGAAAATGTCTTCGAAGAGCATTTAGTAGAAAGGGGCGCGACGCACGTCATCGGGCAGCCCTTTACAGACCTCTAGCGGCTGAAGAGACCATATTAGCGCGCAGGAGTGATGGCTCCACCGGGGTTCGAACCCGGGCCCCCATGCAGGAGCCGAAGCTGCTAACCATACAATATCACGCCACCAGAAACAAGCGCTATTCGTCACCTTTCAGCAGAAAGTCAGCTGTGCGGCTTCGTGAAAGGGGTCATAGATCACGTCACCAATCGCCATGAAAGAAAGATCGCGTCGTCAGTTGTCATGAGTGGAAATATCATGTCGTTAACCCCCATGAGTAGAAAGATCACGTCATCAAACGCCATTAGTAGAAAGATCACATCGTCAGTCGTCATGAGTAGAAAGATCACATCGTCAGACGTCATGAGTAGAAGCTTCAATCTGCCGCAGGGTTTGAAAAATAAAGTAATTTCAGCTAGCTTAGCCCTAAAAACAGCGCGCAAAAAAATGCTTAAGCTGCAGGCGGTATTTCATCGCTGCGGTGAGCGCCGGTAAGAGAAATTGCCTTTGTTCCCGTGCCAGGCGTACCGCTCCGTTGATCCCCTGCAATATGCCAGAAAGTGAGTGGGTAAGACAGCTTCAGGTAGATTTTTACGCCTTAGTTGCCGCTCCCGCGAAAAAGCGTATCTGCTGACATGTTTGTGTTACCACGGAAATGCTACTAAAAGTAATGGCAGGATGCACCTGCATATACGGAGTGCGTATGTCACAACTGGTCACTGAACAAAGTGGTCTCGCTGACCGCTTGGTCCAATTAGCGGCGAGACGTTGCTAACGTGAGTAGCATTTCCACTCCCCCGAGCCGCTGCCTTTGTGAACCTCACAAAAAGGCAGCTTCTCTGTCATGCAAGCTGGACGCCGGTCGTCCTCAGATGAACCCAGCGACCGGTCTCGACCTCCGCCACAGTCATGTGAGACCATGACGCACGCGGCGGCCCCTATGTCGCCGCCTGTTCCCTTCCTGGCGCGACCCGGCTGGCACCGCTTCCCCAGCGGGTGCGCACGACTGCGGCCCGCTGGGGAAGCGGTGCCAGCGGTCAGTACTGCGGGCCGGCGCCACTCCGAGACTGGCTCAGTGGGGCCCGTGGAGGCGTCATCGGCGCGTCGGCGGCGGTGCGTCACTCTCACTCAGTGCCGGCGGTCAGGAGCTGACCGGCTCCCGCCGGGCGCCTGACTCACCGACCCGTCAGGCGACCCCCGTCCGCCCTCCCGCCCACCGCCCCTGCCGTGACGGCGCCGGCCGCCGCCGCCGCCGCCTCAGAGGAGCGGCCCGCGGCTCAGGTGAGTCGATGACTCGCCCCCCCCCCCCCTGTGGCGCCGCACCCCTGGGTGATGTCATCCGACTCGGCTGCGCCAGCCGGATTACAAATGACGTCTGACTCGGCGCGCCCGCTGCTGACATCACCGACTCGGCCGCCCACGGCCGGCCGCATGACTCCATGACTCAGCTGGATTCAAGGAAGTTTGACTCTCTCCAGGCTGATGAAATCACTGGCTCGCCCACGGAGTTGGACATGCGACGCTGTTCTGCGACTCGGCAGGTAGGTCGCTGACCCTCCACGAATTTTAATGTCATATGTTTTTCTGCGAACTTTTCAGTTTGGGTACAAAGGTCTCCTTAAATCTCCGGGGCAACTGGCCACCTCCCCTACCCCCTTCTGCGCTACCTCTCGATAGATACGACTGAATGAGTGAATTTGCGATCTTCATTTTACCCTGAAATATAACGGAAACGCGAAACTTGATACAAACTTGCGCTTGTTACACTTCAATCTCGGCAGTTTACCTCCACTGCCCCTGCCGGCCCCATTTTGCTGTAATTTTTGCACATCGCGTTTAAATCGATTTTATGGCAAGTTCCAAGGGTTCGGGGCGTTGCGGTGAGAAGGATAGCAGTAGCATGCAAAACACTGCGGGAGGGTAGAATCAGACCTTTCCAGGGATTCAACCGGAAATCGTTCGCATTCCTGGGATGTTTATAAATATGTGAGGCCATGTTCCGTAGGCCCATTCCAATGCACACGTGCCGGCGCTGGATGCAGCGACGTCAAGAAACGAACCGGACAACAGCTGTCTGTTCCGACCCTTCCGTGACGTGAACCTTCTTTGGTACAGACCAGATTTGACCACCGAGATCAGTCAGCTTCTTGGATTCTCGAAGAACATTGGCTCCATTATCGGATGTTCTGCTAGCATGTACGTGACGGAACACTTTCATCCGTTATAACCTTATTAGCGTTACGTCGCGTCAG